GCCGAGTAATGTAGGGGCCTTATTAATTAGAATAGGGTGTTGGGGGTTCCTTTTTTCTTATAACTATAGTTTAAAATCACCCAACAAACCCTATTCTAATTATTACGGCCACTACATTAAATCCTTATAGTAGCCCTTATGGTAGCCCTTGTAAGGAACCCTATTTCAACTATTCAGGCCACGACATTATAGTACCCTTATAGAGACCCCTTTAAAGGAGCCTTAAAGAACCCTGAATGGAGTAAGTCGGGCCTTGCTCTTGAAATGCAGTGTCTCTTTTCGACCCAGAAACCCAAGGCCAGCTGACCTGAACGAGCTACAAGGGTTTTGGGGTTTAGGGTTGAGGGTTTAGTTTAGGCTTTAGGTTTAGAGGGTTAGAGGGTTAAGGGTTTAGGGTTTTGTTTGAGGTTTGGTGTTTAGTTTAGGGTTTATGGTTATAGGGTTTAGGGTTCGAGGGTTTAGGGTTTTGGGTCAAGCTCTCTAAACTAAGCCCCAAACCTTGCGTACCGAGATACCGAGGCCTTAGCTTGCACTCTGTAAACCCTCAGAACTCCGACTATCTAAAGCGATTATATACCCGTTATATAGCCCATTATAGGGTAGGGGTCCCCATTAAGGGTCCCTCCTTTTCCCCTTTGACAGGCACGAAAAGATCCTAAACCAAAGTCCCTTGGAACAGCCAACTCCGTGACCCTAAAACAAATCACAACTCAAACCCCGAGCTCATAAAATAGCACAACCCGAGGCCTTCAAAAAGGCTGGGACCGTGTGTCGGCTAGGCCCTATATAAACCCTGAAAGGGACTGTGTTGGCCCCTAATCCTTAAGCCCCAACCATAAGCCCTGAAACAGGCTGGGACTGTGTGTCGGTTGGGAACAGCTTCATGGGACGGCTGGCCCTTTGCGATTCGACCTTCTTCTTGGTCGGCTGCATTCTCATCGTCGTTCGGCTGTTAGGGCTTTTAGGCTTTAGTTTTTGTTTTTGAAGGGGTGGGTTGGGGTTTAGCCTTTTTGAGAGTTCCGTTGTTCAGGGTGTGTTGTTCTTAGGGGTTTTGGGTTTATTGATGGTGAGTGTTTTGGGCTGTTCAGGGTTTAGGAGGTTGGCTGTTAGGGTATATTATACTCTACTTATAATCGGGAACCCCAAAAAATCGTATAGGTAGTTATTTGGGCTCCTATATTAAGGCTGAGTTAGGACATTACTTGGCTCTCTGGTAGTCGGCCGTGAAGACTGCCCTTCGAGGCTCATCAATACTTGGAAGGGCAGGGGACCTAGTTAGTAGGTTATAAGCAGAGTTATAAGTACCCTAAATGGAGTTACCCCAATTACAACCCTACTTATGAACGACTTACTAAGTCCCCTGCCCTTCCAAGTACTACAAAGATCCGTCAATGCGCATTAAGCCCCAGAATCATACAGTGGGGGAATCGTTACTGCTAGTATCGTTCTTATTGTCCTTCTACAGTGGGAGAATCGTCATTGCCAGAATCGTGTTTATTGTTCTTATACAGTGGGGAGTCGTTACTGACATCGTTTTTATTGTTATTGTAATGTGCGGAAGCTTGAGGTTTGGCTTTTTCAGAGGAGTTCACGTGTCTGCGAAGGTCCTGATCGGCTGCTACCATCTCTATGCCGTCCCTTGGACCCGGAAACGAGAACCCATGTTTAGGGTTTAGGGTTTAGGGGAGGATCGATGGCATTTGGGGTGTACAGTAGAAGCCCAAAAGTTGGAAACCCAATAGCCTCAATCCTCAAGAGTAGTGTATAGGGATTCGAAGCACGATTTGTCCTTAATCCGGTTTCCAACTTTTTGAGATGTACTTTGGGGTTTAGGTGGGTCACAACAGCATGACTAATCGTCAACCTCAAGCCTGGGGTTAGACATGACCTCGTCGAAATCCGCCTCCCGAAAGCGCTCCAAAGCCAAATCTTTCAGTGACATCTTCCTATATTGTAGTCCCTGCATCAGTGTTCTACCATGGTACACAACAGCACCCGACGTTCATCAAGACCTAGTAGCGCTTTACACTTTTTGGGATAATATTACCCACTACAGTATAAAACTAAAAGTGTACACTTTTGGGGGGCTTATGAACTCAGCAACTAAGAAGAAGTTCTCGATACTACGCCTTCCATTTCAAGGGTTGAAGCCAAAGCTTACGATTTACTGCTTGCGAGGTCTCCAAGATACCCCTAAACCCTCAACCCTAAACCCTGTTAAACCCTGAACTCCTACCTTTCCGTGAGGGTGTGGGCTTAGGGTGACTGCTTTAAGCTTTCAAAACTTTAGCGACTCCAAGAGTTCAGATTCGGAAAAGCCGAAAAAACCGTCGAGGGTTTTAAGTGCTCCTGGTCTTACCTAGGCCAAGCCGCGACGCAGAGTGCATCCTGTGGCTTCTATGACGTTTTCTGTTTAAAATCATTGTCGAGCCAAAACCTGTCAAAATCCCGCGCTACACTCACGTTGTTAGACAAACAGCCCCACTTCCAGCTTGCCCGGAAGTTCAGGGTTAGGACTAGGATTTCGGATTTAGGGTTTCGTGTGGATCCCATGTCAGGTCACCGAGACCTTGGGAATGCTCAACGACCTTCTGCACATTCATCAAAGGAGGGACACCAGGGTTCAGGCCATGCTCCTGTGCCTCGCCTGACGTTGGTGCCTTTTTTTACCCTAAAAACCCTAAACCCTTAGGGTCCCTCGGTTTAGGGTTTAGGGTTATAGGGTTCAGGGTTTAGGGTAAAGGAACCCTTAAACGAACCGCCTAGGTGGTGTGCCGGGTTCTAAGTCCTTCGGTTTGAGAGCATTTGGGCATAGGGTTCATGGGAAGAGGCTGCAGGGTTGAGGGAATCAAAGTTTGGGCTTTAGGTTGGGTACTGCCCCTTCTCAGTAACAGCTGAGTAGTGTTCATAATATAGGTATATTAGGGCCTTAATAGCAGACCTATTTTCATCTATTGTAGACTGTGGGCAGTAACCGAGGCCTTGGGCATGCAGCTTCTGAGCATTCGGTTTTGCCAGGAATCAGGCATTATGGCTCCCGGCTTGCGCGGGGCATCTAGATATTTCGCTTTTGGGTTCTCCGGGTTCAAGGTGCAGGTTTGCAGTCGGGATTAAATTTGATTACTCTTGCGCGTAGTGTGGTTCTTCTTTTTTGAAGTTTCGGGGTATCGCCGTAGAACACCTTCTAGCTCTGTGGACGCAGCGAGAAGCACACTCTACCGCCCCTGCCTGTGTTCGGAGAGTTCAGGCGAATGAAGCTGAAGTCATGGAGCTCAGATTAAGGAGTTCAGGGTTTAAGGGTTGCGGGTTGAGGGTTTAGGGTTTAGGGGTTTAGGGTTTTGAGGTGTAGAGTTTAGGGGTTATTAGTGCTTCTGGGCAGAATAAAGTCTCTGCGATCTCGGTTTTGGGGACTCTGTACAAGGTACACCCTAAGGGTCCAAAGGACGCAATAATTAGGCAATTACTCGGTTTTAGGATAGTAGTTATGTAGGTTAGGATTTCGGAGAGTATATATATATATATATATATATATGATTGTTGGGTCCTTGGACCCTTGGGGACATGACCTCACCTGATTCTGTCAAGCTCGACCTGAAGCCCTAATCTCGACGATTCGCATGCCTCGGACTGATGGGTTTTAGGGTTTAGGGCTTAGGGGCCTTATAGGGTTTAGTCTTTAGGGTTTTAGGGTTTAGGGTTTAGGGTTGATTGGGCCCAGATCAATTCCGATGCACGTCCGGCCGAGTTTTTTTTCCAGCAACGTAGAGAGTCTCATTCGGGTGGAGGCTTCAGGGTTGTGGTGTTCGGCTTCCGCAGATTGAGGGCCATTCGCAGAATATATATATATATATATATATATATATATATATATATATGTATGTATGTATGTATGTATGTACGTACGTAGGTAGGTAGGTATGTATGTATATTCACTATTGTTATTGTTATACTTATCATATATGTGTGTAGAGTCCCCTTTGTCAAGATAATGCAGCTTCAATGTTCTGGTGTCGGTGCTGAGGGCTTCAAAGTGTAGGGCATGCTTTTGGTTAGGACTCTGAGTGACGGACGTCGTTATAACTGTTAGTTGCTAGGAAGGTGGATTGTGATGAATGAGAAGGAGAAGAATAAGGTTGTGATGACTGTTCACATTGGTGCCAAGCTATCCGTTGCAGCTGCAGCTATCAGTGCTACTGTCTTGAAACTGGCATTCAGCCCGTTTGGCTCCGTCAAGATGCACACATCCCCACATCCTGTTGAGGTATCGGCTGCACCACATCCGCGGCCGGATCACCAACAAGAGGTCGGGGTTCCCCAGATCCTATGAACCCTAGACCCTACCTTAAACTACAATAGCCTACTTTTTCGTAGGCTCTGATCATGGTATTTATAGAGGACCCTTCAATCAAGTAGGTTTTGTTAGGTCAAGGTATGGCTCAACATCACATGGCAGTTTCCGAAAATGTGGGTTACCCTATTTCGGGAACCCAGATCCGAAACTCGAGGATTTGAAGCACACTGAGCCTGTGAAGCCTTCGACTCTGGGTTTCAGGTTTTAGGGTTTAGGAGTTTAGGGGTTTAGGGTTTAGGGTTTTAGGAGTTTAGGGGTTTAGGGTTTAGGGTTTTAGGAGTTTAGGGGTTTAGGGTTTAGGGTTTTAGGAGTTTAGGGGTTTAGGGTTTAGGGTTTTAGGGGTTAGGGTTTAGGGTTTAGGGTTTCACCCAGTATTTTGGGGGTGCTGTCTCCTACTAGCGGTACCCAGTATTTTCTATCGTGGAATATTGTCGTATCGAAGGCAAACACAGCCAACTTGTAGGCACCTTGCACCAAGTGTCCAAAGTACCCGGTAAGTAGGCGGTGCGGGTTTGGGGCAAACCCTAACCAATAAAACCCCTAAATCCTAAACCCTAAACCGCTTTTGGGCGAGTAGATGATCTCCAATGGGTTCCCAAATTTAACCCTGAACCTCTTACCCAGTAATCCCTGTAGACCCCTATAGCGGGAACATTCAAGCCCGGAAAGGAACCCGTATAGAAACCCTAAAATGCTTGCCCGGAACCCTTAACCCCAAACCCTTCAACCCTTTAGCAGGGAGGAAAAGACCCTTCTTTAACCAAAAATCCTTAAACCCGCGAGCCTTCTTTAACCAAAAATCCTTAAACCCGCGAGCCCACGAGGTGCCTGGAGTTCATCGCGGGGCGAGCGCTACCCGATCGCTTGGAGCCGGATGCTTCGTTGTCTTGGTGCCTCTGCGGGCTTCGGGGAGGTGATTGAGACTAGATAGTCTCGCCATTGGTATTGGGGGAGCTAAGGAGCCAGGGATGATGATAATCCCTACTAGATAAGGAGCTAAAGAGCCAAGGGAACCCCAAAATCACTGGTTAGTAGAGGCTCCATAGTAGTTCCTTTTTGTGGCTCATAATTAGAATCCTATAAGGTAACCCCAATAAGGAACTACTATGGAGCCTATGGGTAGATATGGCTTACGGTTCGTTCTTGGTCTTGGGGCTCAGGATTTAGGCATGACGTAGTACGCCTTGCGAGGAGGGGATTGGACGTCCCTAAACATCATCCAGAACCTCGGAACGCGGCTCCGGGCCCAAAACATGGTCCCTAAACCCTAACCCCTACGCGCATGAAGCGCTTGATCTATGGTGCTTGAACTCGACCCTAGACTGTGAAAGCCAACATACCCTAGGCCCCTCAATTCCGAAACCCGAAACTGTAGGGAAAACACCCCGAACTTTGCTTAAACACAGGCTTCCAGTCAGAAATCTGATTGCTGCAGGTGGTTTGAGACTCGTGCTGCCGTGTTCGCCGACATCAACTTCAACTTCGAAAAACGAGACCCAGCTCGGCTTTGTTGTAAATTCAGGGTTCAGGGCTTCGGGGTTCAGGATGTGGGGTCCTTCGCCATGTCGGGTCTTTTCTAAATTCGGGTCGGTTATGGAATCCTTTGCCGAAGCTTCACAGCCCTTAGAGGCCATGTATGAATATGCTGTGACATACCATAATGTATTCTAAAATCCGCAATATGCTGTAATGATTAATGTGCCATCATGTACTATAGTATACCATAGTAGAATCTTGCAAAGCCCCTCAGAGTGGGGAGCAAGATCCAGGAAAGCCAATTCTTGGCCTCTGCTTGCTGGCAGAGTTGGTGCTCATCCTGCTCACGGAGCCTCATCGCACTTTATGGTTTACCTTACCCTGAAGAACCTACCTTTTCAGGGTTCCTTGTTATTATTCCCTTATACAGGTCCTCAAAAAGGTGGGTTATTTGGGCACAAGGTAGGGGTCAGGGTTTAGAGTTTAGGGTTTATGTTTTCAGGGCTTCGGGTTTCGGGTTTCTGAAGGATTCAGCTGCCTTCGAGTGTTTGGCATGGTTGAGAAGTCTTTAGATTCCACAGGCCCAGAGAGCCCAATACCCCTCAGGAATATAGCTTAACTTATATAGGGCTTCATTCTATGATTTATGCGATGTTCCGGTACTGCCGGGTACTGGGCTCTTTGAGGGAGTTTTCAACTCAATGGCTTTGAGTTCGGAGTGCTGGACGGCTGCTTTGCAAATCAGTTGACAGGTTTGCGCTCATGCAAGTGCATGAGCAATGTGCAGGTACATATATATATATATATATATGTAAATGTATATATCTGTATATATGTATATATGTATGTATGTATGCATTCATGTATGCATGTGTTGTCTAGCAGAAATGAAGGGCGTGAACTTTGTTGGACTTATGAACTCAGCAAAAAAGGAAAGTAGAAGCCAGAAGTTGGAAGATCAATGTCCTCAAACCCTTAAGGTAAAGCATAGGGGATCCTAGCACTGATGATCCCTAATCCACGTGAAAACTTTCTGGGGTTCACATATAATCATTCCTGCAAGTCCATGTTCTCAAATAGCATATACTCTGGTCCCAAAGTACCTAAGGGACTACTTTGTATACTGTTTGGGCACAGGGATCCTAAACCCTAAGCCCCAAAGCCCTTGAACCCTTAAATGTACCCCTTAAAAGAACCCTATTTGGGCACATGGATCCTTAGGGGTATAGCTTCTTTCGAAGCTTTCCCAAGCAGAAGCTCCAAACAGCTCGGGCTCCACCTACAAATGCGGGTAGATGGCCTAAGGCCCACAGGCTCCCTCGGCTCAGGGGTTTGGTGTTTTTACCCGCCGTGGCTGACATGTAGGGCTATTACAAGCAAAGTAACCCTAAGCGTAGTTTAGAATGTCGCATGTAAAGTTCAGACAGAAACCCCAACAGGGCAACCCTCAGCCCCCAACCCAAGTGGGCAAAACCACAAACCTTCAACACCTGCATGTAACACCCTCGGACTGCCCTAGGTTGTATTGTCGCACGTAAATTCCTACGAGCAAGGAACCTAAGACCTCCTTCAAAATAGTTTTGGCGGTACCCCCTTGATCAATGAAACCCTACATCCTGAACCCACAATAAGGAAGACTGCAGGCTGGGCTCTAGTTTCTCTGGTCCTTCTAAACCCTAAACCCTAAACCGTAGGGGTGTAATTTAACCGCTCTTCAAACGAACCCAAATCCGCCAGACACAACCCGAGACGTCAATGCCCCAAGCCCTTAAACACGATGACAGAAGCCTTAAAAGCAGGCACTGACAAGCCCTTCCCTTGATGTGATATTTGGGCCTTATATAGCATTTAGAATGGAGTTTGGGGGGGTATGATATACCGTAGATGTATTAAGGAGCGCCTACAACGACATTCTATTTATTGAGACCCCTACAATGACGTGAGACCGAGGTTTTGGCATGCGCCTTTCGAGAAAATGATTTCGTGGTCATGTGCTACGCCGCCTCCTACGGACTGGGATTGGGCTTCGTGTGCCTTCTGCTTTTCGGCTCAGACACCTAAGGGTCCATGTACCCAAAAGGATACATGGACCCTTAAGGATATAGAAGCTTGAATAGTCTTCTTCCTTAGGGCTCCTTACAACAGCTATTCCTTGTGAAAGCCCTATTCTGATCCCTAAACCCCAAAGCATCCGGTGTTATGTTGGGTCCGGAATTTGGGGGTTCGTAGGGTTGTTGCTTAACCGCCAGACCGGTTGGTGGGGACAGCTGAGGCTTTCTAAGCCGCTAGGACCCGGAGTAGGCCCTTATTCCCTTTTTTAGGGTTTAGGTTCCCTTATAACCCCCTTTAAACCAAAAAGGGCACCCTTTTTATTCCTAGGTTACTCTTAGGTCTAGGCCGGCTGAGGAGCATTGAGGTATTCTAGGGTTTTGGGTTTGGGGTATCTAGGCTGCAGGGTTCATTGAGGAATAGAGGTCCGCCTTGCACTGCGGTTGACGAGCTTGCTTGTATTCCAATTGGAGTGTTTGGTTTGGGGTTAGGTTTAGGGTTTAGGGGTTTAGGGTTTAGGTCTGGTTTTCTGGGATGCATCGCTTCAGGTTTTCGTATTTGCGAGGTTGGCAGTTGTGCATTGTTCCCAGTGTATCACTTGGAGCATCTTGTTCTGCCCTGAAAGCGAAACCCTAAGCCGGAAACCTAGCCCAAACCTTATAAAAGTATTATCATTAGATCTACTTTAAATTACTATCACTGCTGCTGCTGTCCTGATTACAAATTATCAAGAATAATTACAAAATACCCCAAATCCTAAAACCGCATAGCAGTTTTTCAACCTGCGACACAAGCGCCCCAGGTTCATGTACTTGGGCAGCAAGGCAGGACCTATATCTTACCCTAAGGCTCTAAGGACTCATAATTTAAGGCTTTTGGGCCTAAAGACCATATGATATAAGGCTTTTGGGCCATTTTGAGCCTTAGGGTTAGGACCTCTATCTCTGGTTTTTGGAGTACCATGCTTTAACACTTTTTTCTTAAAGGAACCATTATGAAATAGAAGTTTATACTTTTTTCTCCCTGGTTACTTAAAAGCCCAGTCTCAGGAATGGTCAGATCTTTGAATATTCCGCCAGGGGAAAATTCATGTACTTAGTGCGACACAGCTCTGACATGGTTTGATTCTGCTACTGCTTGAGACCTCATCCGGTGACCTCTCACCTTTGGCTTGTGTTTAACCCCAGGCCCTAAACCCTAAAACCCTTCATCCTAAACCCTTTAGGCTCCAACCATACGTTAGAGTTTGTGTGTTTTGACCAGCGAGATCAGCAACTGAGACTGTGACTTACATGCCCTGTCTTTAATTTCTCCGAGACCTTATCCCCGAATAGCCTACCTTCTAAGGACCTTCATGAGGAAATCACAATAAACAGCCTTAAAAAAGCAGGTTTATACAGGGTTAAACGAGGTCTTAGCGGATGAATTGGTTTTAGGCTGAGGTCTTCTTGTGAACTTAAACTGATCTTCGAAGGGATATGAAAATCCGAAACCCAAAGCCCTGGGAGCCTGCACCCGCACCGCGAGACTCCAGTATCCCTTAATTAAGGAATGTACCTTAAGTTATAGTAGGATCCCTAAAATGGTTTAAGGAATATTTTTGAATTAAGGGATATTGGAGTCTCTGAGCATGTAGCTTTCTGCCTATTTGCCAAATTAGAGTAGAAGCCAGAAAGTTGGAATATGATTATCCTAAGCCCTTTATGGTAAATTATAAGGTATCCCACCCTGAAACCATATTCCAACTTTCTGGAGAGGGCTTTGTCACGGTACGTAGTACCTGAGAAGTTAGTAGGTTGCTTTTTGTAGTTTCTTGACCCACCTGCAATGTCAGCAGGTGAATACACAGCTGGACATCGGGCTTGAGAAAGTTCAGAAGTATCTTTGCCGTCGTTGGGTAAGATTTTAAATTTTTATGGATACTTGAGCCCAATACGGAATAGATATATACATGTTTTATACTACCTTAACAACGAACGAGGTATGTGGACGTATTGCCCCATTCGAACTCGGATGGATCTCTTCTTTCTGACCGGCGGCAGCACCAGCAGACGACGTTGAAGCAGCTCCGGGAATATGCCGAAGAGTATCCGCTTCAGCTGAAATTCTTGGGGTTCCCATTTACACTGAACTTTCTCTCTGTCTTCGCGGCGCCCCTGACAACCTTCGGTGCAACGGTGGGATTCTGGATGCTACAGCACACCCTGAAGCCGTTTATGGGGTCCTTAGAAGGGTGACGGGTGTTGGCTCTTTTAAACCGTGCCCCCTGCCTCAAGGCAGGAGAAGGGAGCACGCTGAATGATATGCATGGCCAATGCTACAATTCGGGTGCACTACTTGCGTTTGTCTCGAATTCTTGGTTTGTTTGCGGTGTTGGTCGCGCAAATGACCCAATAGACAGAATGTATTTGCCTGATGACCTATATGGAACTCCTCATGACACGTGTGAGATGACGTCGAGACTGTGGGGGAATTCCGGTGCAAGCAAAGTAGTGGCAACCTACTAAATTCAGAGTACGGGGCACAGCAACGGTTGTGCTCAATTCGGGCCCCTTGCACTAGAAGGTGCATTGAAAAGGGGACCCTGAATTTGTACACTACCTCTCCCGGTAGTTTCCGAGTTTCACTGATACCCATTTTCCCAGCCTGGCGTGCACAAGTTCACCTTGAGGGCTTGAAAAATGACCGGTCGTGGGCAGGTGTTGCCACCCTAGCCTGAGCTCTGAATCCCATAAACCCTAAACTCTAAACCCTAAACCCTAAACTCTAAACCCTAAACCCTAAACCCTAAACTCTCAAGAAAGTGATAAATAGAAATTGCTTGTCCTTGTTTGTAACTACCGCTAGGGCCCAGCATTTTGGTTAAAACTGGCGTTAGCTTCTTGATAATCCAATTTCGCACAACCACAACCTCAACCATTAACTCAGCCCAGCCAACTCAAAACAGCCACCACAACCTCAACCATTAACCCAGCCCAGCTAACTCAAAACAGCCACCCGGTCAAAAACGGAACAAGCTTCTTGATAAACCAACTTCGCACAACCACGACCTCAACCTCAAACTCAGCCCGGCCAGCCCAGCCCGCCGGCCCAACACACCGATTAAAAATTGAATAAGTTTCTTGATAAACCAATTTCTCCACAAACTTGTAACCACCAGTACGGCCCAACACACCGCTTAAAATTGAACAAGCTTCTTGGTAAACCTCTCCACAACCTCCAACGCAGGCCCACCTTCCCCAAAAGGCCCAAAATCCCAAGTCCAGGAGGCCCCGAATCCAGGCCCCAAGCCCAGACCCCAGGCCCAAATCCAGGCCCACTTTCCCATCCTTCCCACAATCCAGGCCCCAACCTCCCCAAATCCAAGCCTCAAAATCCAGCCCAAATCCAGGCCCCAAACCCCAATCCAGGCCCCAGTCCCAAATCCAGGCCCAGCCCCCCTTTCCAGGCCCAGCTGAAATCCAGGCCCACCAAATCCAGGTTTCAGACCCAAAGCCAGGCCCACTTCCCACACCCCAAACTCCAAGGCCCAGACCCCAAGTGGGCCCCCAGGCCCCAGACCCCAAATCCAGGCCCAGCCAAATACATTTGAGCAAAATTGAGCTCCCACTTTGTGAAGCGATAGAATCCGATAGAACCCCTTGAAGAGCGACACCCCCCTTCATTCATGACCATAGAATCAGCGCACGTTGGTTGAATCTCATTGGCTACCCCTGGGCAGGAGGACCCTGGCGCTGTTTTCCCAAAGACGGAGACACCACCCTCACCTTCATGGAAGAAAAGGGTCGGATCGGTGCTGCAGAGTGCAGCCTTGGCAGCCTCGGCTGCCTCAACGCCAGTGGTAGCTGGGCTGGGCGCGGCGTTTGCATCCTTCTCTTCGGGAGCGGGAGAAACAGCATCCCCTCGTCCGGCGAAGTACAGGAAAAACACTGAAGAATGGAAGGTGTCTGAAGAATGGAAGTCGTCTGAAGCATGGACGGTGACGGAAGAATGGAAAATGACGTCTGAAGAATGGAGTGACTGAAGTTTCGCCAGGGATGTATAGATCTAACCAGCTTTTTGCCTGCCTGTATAGACTGTTTACTTCCGCTTTGCTTTGTTCAAGGTGTGTCATCACCTCCAACTTTCGTGGTCGTTCACGGAGTTCGGAGATTCATGTCGCGGCTGAGGAACAAAAAGATGCGTTTTGGTCAAGGGTCGAATCATGAAGCCTGCTCCGCCAGAGACATGTGCCATGGTGTGCTGCACATTGGATCGTATTCGGAGTTTAGGGTTCCCCAAAACCCCAAATCCCGTTTTTAAACAGACCCAAATTCCAGGCTCCACAGCACCCCCCAGCCCCCGGGCCCAGACACCAACCCACCCTGGCCACAGCCCAACACCAAATCAAAGAGTGAAGCCCAGCACCCCAGCCCCCGCCCCACCAGCCAGCCGGCACCCAGCCCAGCCCAGTTTAGTCCAGCCCAGCCCAGCCCAGCCGCCGCCCACCAATCTCGAAATATGGGTCCAAAAACCAAAACTTTCGGTCAAAACGTTTTGACCTAAACCCTAAACCCTTAACCGTACTAGACACCTATCAGACCCCAAGCCCTAAACTCTGAATATTCTGAAGGTTCGTCCGATTCGTCCGGCTCCTAATTATCCTGTCAGCTGTCGTGAGTCGCGGTTCTGGGCTGTGGTTGGGGTTTAACCCTAAACCCTAAACCCTGGGCTCGCTCCTTTGATCCATCCACAAGCGCGAAGAGGCCAGTCGCTTCCATAGGTAGTATGATTAGGGAACCCCTTAAAGGGTACCCCTTCTGAGCCCTACTTCTGGCTCTCTTAAAAGGGGCCTTATTGAGAGGGTCTATATCCCCAAGGGTCCCCCTAATCCTAACTCCCATTCCAGCAACTGCAACAAGCAAGGAAGGTGGAAAGATAGCCTGAAGCACAGACTGGGGGGCCCGGAGTCTTAAAAAATCCTTATGGGAGTTTCCCAAAAAATAGGGGACCCTAATACAGTACCCTAAATAGTAGGATCCTTAGTATAAGGACCCCCAAAAAAGGTCAGAAACTCCCATATGCATGCCTTGGGCTAGCTCGCAGCCAGTCTGGCCCGGCTTGAATCCAAGGGGTCCAGCAGCGTGCAGCAGCCAAAATGGTCGCTGCTGCAGCTGGCTGTGTGCTATGCTGCTTCTGCAGCGCTTGGATCGCCGTTATCTTCACGGCGGTGGGGATCCACAACATGGGGGACTTCTTGAATAAGGCAGACGCTTGGGATGCCTCGACGATGCAACCAAGCCGAATTAAATACAGAAGTGCAGACTTTGCTACTTTGCTACTTCAAGGAGAAAACGAAACAGGCGAGCTGATGGCATGCTAGTTAGCATGCGCAGCCATCCACTCCATCCTCAAGATAAGCTGCCTAGTGCCCTTTTAGATCTAGAGCGTGTGCGCTCTAAAGCTTCAAGCCTCGTTGAAGGTAAACCTTCTCAGGCCCTTACAAAGCATCAACAAAACTGTTTTGTCAGACCATATATCAGGCTGCTCTTAGAGCCATGGCTTGAAATTTTACCGTTAAACCCCGCTGAGCTTTTATCAACGCTCAACACCCCAGGGCTCCAGTTACCTAAATGGGAGTTTCCGAAAATTGGGGGTACCTTGTTTTGGGGTCCTTATAATAAGGATCCTACTATTTCCCCATTTTCGGAAACTCTCAAATAGTAGACCCCTGCAGTCACCTAATATTTAGGTAACTCGGCCCTAAGCCCGAAACCCTACACCCTAAACTTTAGGGAAAGACAGCAAGCCTAAACCGCAAACCCTAAACCCGAAAACACTAAGCCCTAAACCACAAACCCGACACCCGAAAACCTAAAACCCTAAAACCCTAAGCCCTAAACCTTAAACCCTAAAACCCTAAAACCTAAAACCCCTAAACCAAGGTGGCAGCAGGCGACCTGTGAGGTATTGGCCTCCGGCGTCAGCTGCACCGACAAGGAAACCAGGACACCACCCCACGCAGGTTTAGGGTTTTAGGGTTTAGGGTTCAGAGGTTTTTGGGAATCAGCGGTTTAGGGTTTTAATTTTAGGGTTTAGGGTGTAGGGGTTTTAGGGATTAGCGGTTTAGGGTTTTAGGGTTTAGGGGCTTCGGGTTACGTAATCCCGGGCTTCTCGGGTTTAAGGTTGGAGTTGAGGGGTTAGGAGTACTTCAGGGGTTTAGGTGTAGTGGTGTCATTGTTTAGAGACTGAGGGTCTGGAATTCGTTTGTTTTGAAAGTGTTTACTTTAGGTTTGAGGGCCATTCTCACTGCCTGGATCTAAACCTAAACCCTGAACCCCAAACCTCCCGACAAATCCTAAAAGCCCCTTGTTGGACAGAGCTTCAGAGATGCGGCCTAAGTAGGGAGTTTCAGGGTTAAGCGGCTACCCGGAAGCTCCGCCGTCACTTAGTAGGGTTTCGGGTTTAGGACGTCTTGATTATGTTATGTAGGGATCCTTCATATGATTCAGGGCATACTCCGAGATTCATGTGGTTTTCGGAGGTCACTTAACTTAAATCCTAGACCCGAACCCTTGAACTGAACTGCATAGGCCCACAGAGCCCAATACCCCTTAATTATGGAATATGGCTTAAATCATAATATGAAGCCCTATATGATCTAAGCTATATTCCTTAATTAAGGGGGTATTGGGCTCTCTGGGGGGATTCTGATTATGACTTAGGGGCAGCAGTCTCTGGGTATGTGTCGTGGTGTCTGGGGTCGGGCAGTGGGCCCCCAAAACCCATGGACGGGAACTGGATGATCAGATTACATAGCTTGGATCGGGTAGATGTATTTATATATATATATATACATACACTCCTTACATAGTTGTCATTCATACATATAATAGGTTAGACAGGCCCATATCCGCATCCTCAACTTTGCTGTTCAAACTCGCTGTGCATCTATCTGCGTATGTTGGAGCTGCTGCAGGGCAGGGCGGGTGCAGAGGGATGGCCAGAGGCGTGGCGTGGATTCATGTACCGAGAGACTCCAATATCCCTAAATTAAGGAATATACTTTAAGTTATAGTAGGATCCCTAATATTCCTTAATTAAGGGATATTGGAGTCTCTGGGTACGGATGAGTCTGCAGATTGGTGGTCTACCTAGTCCCCGAGCAACGCCTCAGCAACAGCTTCGGCTTCTACCCTGATAATCTAAGGGCCTTAATGATTACCAATACTGTGTTTGGGGGTTCCTTATTATAGTTATTAGTGCAATGGGCTCCAAAACCCCATTCCAGTGCTTAAGGCCCCTATATTAACTAGGCCATTGTTGTCACAGTGGCAGGAGCACTTGCAGTGGCTACAAAGCGGGCGCAATGCCGTCCTCGAAGCCACCTGTTTTCCTGACAGAGCAGTCGCTCGATGGCCCTTAGACTCTGTGGGAACGGTACAGGGTCTCTCATGTGCATCCCCGTCTTCATTGCCTCTAGCCTGCCTTCGACACAACAGTGGAAGCCGCCAGCCGCAGTATGCGAAGCAGTCCCATGTTAGAAATTGCAGAACCCCATGATGAACGCTGCTGAGCGTCTGAACGATTATTTTCACTGGTGAGAACTGTTGCGCGAGGTCTATTGGATCTCCAGGTTGTGATGTCCTCAGTCAGTGTGTAGTGTGTAAGTCCCGCGAATCCCATCTCCTAGGCATGATCCAAGTCGGTATCTATATATATATATATATATATATGTGTATATATATATATATATATATATATGTGCTGATGCGTGCAAATGAGCAACGGCTCCTTTCGTATTCCTAATTTTGTACTCGCAAGCGCCTTTCCCTGTGCCTTTGTTCTCGTTCGGGTTGCAGACACTGGGAGGGCGTCTCAACTGTCACAGAAGCGCACCACCGAACTCTAAACCGTGACAGCTTCTCTTCTCTAGTCTAGTCAGCTGCAGCAAGCAAGGATAGCGGTCTGCCCAGGGACCTACTGGCATCTCGGTGGTTTGAGACTGGCATTTGTCGCTGTGATTTCCAGGTTGAGGCAGAGAGGCACTTCTGTGTGTAGACGCGGTCGACCGTCGTGCTTGCAAGTGCTACGTAAGATCATGCGTGAATGCTCAGAGATGCGAACTGATTCAGGTTTGGCCGCAAGTCACGTGCCTGGCTGAGGTGTGCCAAAGAGGGAGAGATCTGCCATTGCAACGGGGAGATTACCTACGCTCCGGAGCTCTTTGATGGCTACGTGTACACGGTTCCCTCGTCCGAGATGGCTTACAAAGTAGCTTCCAGCTCAACCTGGAAATGCGGGACGGACCAAAGTGGAAAGCCTTACGCTGTGGATCCTGCTCCATGGCATGTGAAGCACTGTTGCTTGGCTTGCAATCTTTCAACGGCCACGTTTCGGTATTCCTGGCTGGACACAAGAACATTTTTGGAGCCTACCTGAACCTCCCAAAGTAGGGCCCAACACCCTGATTAAGAAACCCTGGGCCTATAACCCCAAAATAGAAGGAACCCTAATAAAGGCCCGAGGTTTCTTAATCAGGTTCCTACATTAAGGCTTGAAGAACCTACCTTTTTGAGGATTTACATAAGGAAATCATAACAGGGGACCTTAAAAAGGTAGGTTATTCAGGGTTAAAGTAAACCCCCAAACCTTAAGCCCCTAAACCCCTTAACCCTAAACCCTAAACCCCTAAACCCCTTAACCCTAAACCCTTAAACCCTAAAGGGTTAAGGTACAGGTTCGGCCAGAGACCTGGCCCACGTATTGATTCACGAGCACTCGGAAGTCTGATTGCATTCTTTTACTCTTATTGACGTTACTATTTCTGTTATTACTATTACTATGAGTACTACTAACATTATTATTTGTATTACCATTTGAATTACTACCCTAAACCGTGCAAGTGCCTACTATTGTCTTCTTAGGAACGATTTTGTATGTTTGTGCATATAAAATCCAAAAGAAGATTCAAAATAGCATCTTTAATATGTGACGGGGGCAGTATCTCGACCCGAATATCTGGGTGTTGGGGGCTTCAGTAGCATGCTGGCCGCTGTTTGAACCCGGCGTTTCAAGAAGGCTTCACCGTAGTTCCCAGGCGAGTAATTAAAGTGGAGGCCTTAATAATTAGAATAGGGCTTTGGGGCCAATTCTACTATGAATGAAATCAGGAACCCCCCTAAAAAGATATTGTATAGGCAATTATTGAGGCCCCTATAGTACGCAGGTAAGGACTTTTATAAGGAAATCATCATAAGGGGCCCTACAAAGGTAGGTTATTCAGAGTTAAGGTAGGCTTTAGGCTGGACTCCACAGGTTGGTGCACACCCCAGGGCATCCTCGACATTCTGAAGAAGCACGATGTTTCTTGACATTCTTCTGGGTGGCTCTTAGGACTTTAACTTCTTTGTATGAGCTATAAGAAGGACGCTAAACGTTTAATTTTTAGGAGGGGTTCAGAAGTCAGCCAAGGACTCGACCCTCCACAAGAAAGAGTGCTCCGAGGCAGCGAACTTCGACTTCGACCAGCCAGCCCGCCGCTTAAAGGAGGGACCACAGGCACGGGTTTAGGGTTTAAGGTTCTGGGATCACACCCACACGGCCCAAGTATCACCATGTGTTAGTCTTTAGTAGACATCTGGCCCAAAAGTATATACTAAACTGCAACTTGGAGCTTTTGGAACAGGCTGTCAAGCACGTCGACACGGAGGAAGATGAGGAAGAGGACGACGAGGAGCTGATCGAGAGCGAGCACCAGGAGGAGAGAGACACCTCTATAATTCTCTGTAAACTTGATGTAGATAGACCCTTATACAACACATAAGCCTTATCTGCTTCGGTGCCTCCTTGAGGACGCTGGGCCCAGAGCTTTGTTGAGCCGGCACATGGTCGATGCGGCTCCGGCCCGCAGCCTCAAGGGCGACACCCGTCGGCGTCGCACTTACAGCTACACCCCCTGGGCCCTGGTTTCCTTGAAAACGGAGAGTTTCGACAGCCTCGATGCGGAGGAGGGCAACAGGCAGATCAGCTGCGCCTATGAGTATGGAGTGCCAGTGGCTTCCTCAGCGCAATACACATCCGACGGGCCCTACTCGGGACCTGTTTGGGAGGTGGAGAAGCTCGCGAAGAAATGGGGAAACGTCTCCACTCGCCCCTGCTGGATACGAACCTTAGTGGTACTTAGAAACAATTTGTGATTTTTGGTTATTATAATCCCTAAGAAGCAGCTAAAATTGTAATTTTTGCTAGGGTTCTAAGTTCAGTATAGGAACGCGTGGCGAAGCCGGAGAGCGCCTCGCCAGTTGCGCCGTGGCCCTCGAAAAGCCGGGCTCTCTGAAGGACAACCAGCCTTGTCCTTGTTCATGGTTCCCCCAAAAGAATAAACAGACCGGCCAGTAGACCTTCTTAAATAATTCCTACTAAGGGATATAGGTATAGGGCTCTGTCTATTATTTGTAAAAGGACAAGGGTCAACCCTCAAACCCTGAGCCCCTGAACCTCCAAACCTTCAAACCTTTGTAACATAGGAGCCCTAAACCTAAAACCCTGAAGCCCTAAACCCCTAAACCCTAGACCCCTAAAAGCCTGAAGCCCTAAACGCCGAAGGACAAAGCAGAGGGAAGCATTCAGGGTGCCTGGAGCTTCCCTGCTGCCACTTTGGGAAAGCTTTCTATGAAATTCCCCCAAATGGTTCCCAAAAAGAAGTAGGTACATAACTTTGGGAAACTCTAACTATCATTTAAAGGCCCCTTTCATGGTTCCTACAGAGGTACTCGTTCATAAAGACTTTAGCCCCAAGACCCTGAACCCCAAACCCTGAACCCTGAACCGCACCAGGAACCCCTAAGTAGCCTTTAAAGGGCTCCGATATTTCTCATTAAGAGGTAATTGGGGGCTATACTAAAGGGTAGTTGGGGGGTCTAGGTGAACCCCAAACCTAAACCCCAAACCCTAAACCCTAAACCCAAACCCAAGGGCCTCAAATCTGCAGCACCCAGGCTTTCTCTGGATCGTCTTGGGTCTGGCAGTGTTTTGCACAGGGCTCCTCGGAGTTGCGGTGGTCTTCATAGCGAAGACTCTCCAAGAGCACCAAGAGGGGAGTCGCACTCAACAAGAGGGCCTCATGAACAATACGGGTAATTAGACGCCTTTGAAGTGCTTTCCAGGGTTCCTTCCTGTGCCCTGTCTTCGGCCGGGTGGTGAAGTTGAATGCACGCCACTTTGGAAATTAGGAAGTTTGCCATCCGAGCAGATTTCGCTGGCGGAGGGAGGTGAGCAACTTTGAATCAGGGCGCTCTGATTCCGCCGCCATCGCGCACCCCCGCTGGAGCCGGTGCAGAAAAGTCGATGAGCCATCTTCATGTAGGGGCCTTTGTATTTACCTGTACTATTTTGGGGGGCTCCTTACTATAATGAAGGTGCAATGGGCCCCAAAACCATATTCTAATTATTATAAGGCTCCGATACTAGCCCCAAGCATCAGGAATTCTGTTCAGTGATAGTCCCTTCATGACAAGTAGACTCTTTCCAGCCTCTTCCAGTGGAACCTTGTTAGTGCACACTTGGAGGAGCAGGGGACTTAGTAAGTAGGTTATAAGTAGAGTTATTAGTACCCTAAATGGAGTTACCCCGACTTTAACCGCGCTTATAAACGACTTACTAAGTCCCCTGCCCCTCCAAGTAGACCCCAAACCCTAAGCCCCATAGATCCCTTTAAAAGGCACCCTATGGATCGCTTTAAGGAGCCCTTTGAGATCCCTGACTAAGTCTTCTGCCCCTCCAAGCAGCTGTGGTCCTGGAAGATTCCGACTTGAACCCAGCAGGCCTTCCCATTCTGCTCAGCGCTGCCGGGCCGCGCGTGAGATCTGGCAGTTTCCGAAAGTTAGGGGTATTTTAAATTTGATTTTGGGGTTTTATAATAAGGGTATTATTATGTAGGGTATTATTATGTAGGATAGTAGATTAGGGTCCCCTATTTTCGGGAACTCCCATCTGCATCCACCTGGGTGGAGCTTGAAAAGCCTTGGGGGCCAGAAGCCGAAGACGTGAAAACCACCTGCCAAATGTAGGGGTTGAAAGTGTTAGAAGCAACATCTCGATCAGGACTTCGTACTTGTAGTGGGATGCGGGGGTATTTGTGTAG